GTTGTTGTTGTTGTTGTTGTTGTTGTTGTTGTTGTTGTTAGTGGTAGTGGTAGTGGTAGTGGTAGTGGTAGTGGTAGTAGTAGTAGTAGTAGTAGTAGTAGTTGATGTAGCAGTAGTAGTAATTAGTCGTCGTCGTAGTCTAGCAATAGCAGTAGCCAGTAGCAGTATCAAATAGTCAATATCATCTTTGCTCCGCTTCTACTTCCCAGTTTACTTCAGCGTCTGCTCATGACGGTCAACATCGACAGTGCCTTCATCATTAGCTGGTAAGCTTCCATGTTTAGTGCTTGAGGCTGTGGTGTTTTTGGGTCGTTTTGATGCGAGCATGAGCTCTAACACACACTTTGCACTCGACTTTGCTGCGCTAGGGCGTTACTTTCAACTCTGCCGCGGAGTCAGCTAGGCTGTTGGCTCTCCGCTTCGTGAGGGCGGGTCCGGCACAAACCAATTGCATGCTCCGAGATCTCAGGCATCCAGCTTGGACTCGTCGGGAGCACATACCTGCACCTCGAAAAACGATGATGGAAAAGTTTTTTACGTTCAGGCAAGAAGGTGGAATACCATCCAAAATCCCCGAATCTTGAACTTGAAGCTGGGGTTTTCGAAGGAATGCAGACTTCCTGGATGCTGAATTCTAACGTAAGCCGGACGACATGAAGTCGTATGCCCCTTTTGGGGAACATTCGGTGTGCCTCGGGCTTGCTGCCGTACTACATAAGGTGTTTTCCTAGCTCCTCTGGAACTGGCCCCTGAAACACAAAAAATGCCAGGTAAGGTTTGCTTGAAGCTGACAGCAGCTACAGCTAAGGATCATCTTCCCGCCATCATAGAATCTGGGGCACTTGATATATGAGGCGTTACATTGTGGCAACGGCGAGGATTATGGCGCAGAGTGGACAGGACATGCACCTCCTGGACGAAGAGGCTGCTGTTACCTGTTGCATGATGTGATAGTGTATTTGGCGCCGTGCACGCGATCTCACAGTGTGGCGCAGTCGTCAGGGCTGGGATCCTAGTCCCAGAGTAGAATAATTGTGAAGGGGTGCACTGCAGACGACAGCGAAATCTTAGCTTCAGAAGTCGCCTTAATTGGTTTTTGGGTATCTTATACTATCATTATAAGAAGGCCCGTATTACCATGATTATAATCAGGCCCCTACTTGGAGGATCGTGGGACGTAGTAACTAGGGTTATAAATAAGGAAACTATAATTATAACCCCAATTCGGGTACTTATAACCTTACTTACTAAGTCCATAATCCCTAAACCCTAAACCCTTACTTACTAAGTCCCATGATCCTCCAAGTATGTTTCTTGGGTTTAGACCCAGGTCCCGCCTTGTTGATGGGTTCCGCGCAAGCTCGACGCAACCGGTTCCATGCCTCGGATCGACCCAGCTTCCCCTAATGGTAGGGGCCTTAACAATTCGAATACGGTTTTTTGGGGTATAATAATAAGGGTTCAGAAAGGCCCTAATGTAGGGGCCTTAACAATTAGAATACGGTTTCTGGGGTATGGTAAGGACCCCCCCCCAAAAAAAGAACTGATAAGTAAGTACAGTATTATAAGGCCCCTACATTAACCTTGCACACACTACTGTGACCACTATACAACTCTGTCCACGGGAGTTCTACAGCTTTATCGGCTCATGAGCCCTAAACCCTCAACTCCTCGTAGAACCCTGAACAAAACCCTAACCCCCCAGGTACCTACTATATAGGGTACTAGAGCCCCAAATCCCCTATATAGTAGATATGTGGAGGGTTAGGGGAATGGGGGTTTCCGAAAATAGGGGACTCTAATATAGTACCCTAAATAGTAGGATCCTTGCTAGAAGGACCCCAAAATAGGTGTCCCTTGTTTTCGGAAGCTCCCAAATGGGAACTAGAACAAAAGGCGGCAACAGGTAGGATGGCAGGGTCTGGCTGAGGCGCCTTCCCACGAGCGTTTAGGGTTTAGGGTTAGGGTTTAGGGTTGTTTAAGATCAAGTGCAGGCACTCTCCATGCCTTCAGACATGTCTCGCAGGCCTTCCTACCAGACTAACTGCAAAGGCTTGGATTCGGGTCGAAGCCGAATGACTTAGCAGGAAATTTGAAAAGAGTGCATCACCAAGTATGAAGCTCTTAAGACGTTCAGAACTAGGAATTTGCAGTAAGGAGTTCATGGACCATTTGCAACATCTGTTATGTCCGCCCTCAGGAACCTTCGCCTCGAAACACCAACTTAGTCTAGAATCCCTATGAGCATCGCGAGTCCCTACACCCTGAAGCCCTGAAATCCCAAACCCCCTAAACCCTAAACCCCAGATCCTAAACCCCAAACCCTCGAACCGCGGAAGATGGAAGCCCCCCCAAGTCTTACAAAGTCCCGTCCCTTGCCGCCTTGCGGCTACTAGGGCCCGAGACCCCTTATCCCATGAGCGGCAACATGGAGCTGTTGGCGGCCGCCTGCTTCATCGCCTCTTACAAGCTCTTTTGTACAAAGAGCAGAATTGTTCTTGGCTCTGGGGAACAATTACATTGCCAGCAAGTATCGTTAGTGACAGTGTGCAGATGTGTGTATGTACGTGTATGCATGTATGTAGGCATGTAGGTATGTATGTATGTACATATATATATATATACATACATACACATACATACACATGCACATGCACACGTAGAAGAGTTTCTATTATTTTCCAGGGACAGTCTGCTTTACTCATATAGGAGGGTCATGAGGGCGGAATGAAGCTGCCTCAATATCTATGTGTACTGACAAGCATGATTACTGATGTCGTGTTATCACTGCGAGGCAACATGCAAGAAACCGCAGGACCCTAAACCCCAAGCCCTAGACTCTACGCCCCCACGCCCAAGTTGATCACTTGGAGGATCAGGCTACATAGTAAGTCAGTGGTCAGGTTATAGCGCAATTGAGGTTCGAAGTAACTACCTTTTGGCTACCTTACTTATATCTTAAAGTTGTACACTAACCCTTGACTTTAAGATTTAAGGATTTGCGCTTAGGGTTTAAGACGCGGGGGTCAGAATTCAAGCTTCGAGGGTCCTCTCAAAAGAAAGGGTCTGCTACTTGGAGGAGCATGGGACTTAGTAACCAGGGTTATAAATAAGGTAACTATAATTATAACCCCAATTAGGGTACTTATAACCTTACTTACTAAGTCCCATGATCTTCCAAGCAGTGCATTCCTTTCAACGTCAAGCATGACTTGTGGACTCGGCTTCAAGACATGTTCGCAGATCAAACCCAGAGAGCCCAATACCCATTAATTAAGGAATATACCTCAAATCATAATATTCAGGCCCCTATAATTTAAGGTATATTCCTTATTTAAGGGGTATTGGGATCTCTGGGAAGACGAACCATGATACCCGAAGCATATCCCTAGCAGCTCTCAACCTCAGAGCTATATGGGGGGCCTCCGTTTCCCCGTGCGTGAATTCTGAGGGCTTAACGTTGCGCATGAAGGATAATCCACCATACGCAATTCAGTAGTGAAGAAATCCACCAAAGCACGGACCAACAGTCATATGACACACTAACCGCTTCAGCCGTTGACTGCTTGAGCCGCGCTTTTGGTGCAGGCTGTGACCATTGCAGCTTTCCCTCCAGGCACGTGGCCACTCTCCCGTGCACCCTAAGAACATTCTCCGCGTGATGCTTGACAGTTGCAAATTCGTCGTCTAACGTAGGGACCTTATAGTTAGAATAACGTTTTGGGGCCCATTACACTATAATTATATGAAGGAACCCCCAACATAGTCTTGGTAACTATTAAGGTCCTTACATTAGTTTCCATCCTGCCTTCTTCGCCAGCATCCGCTGCACACCCACCGGAACCGACGACTTCGGTTGATTTCTGGGCGGAACGACCTTCCTTGGCGGGCCAAGAAGATTAGGACCGAATCATAAGCTCTTAATGGGGGCCTTCATAATCACGGTTTAGGGTTTAGGGTAATGGGTTTAGGGTTTAGGGTTTATAACCAGAATATAGGGTTTTCGGGTATATTATACTATAATTATAATCAGGAACCCCCCAGGTAAGTATTTAGGCCCGTATATTAGGCAAACGAAAGAAAACGACGCACACACAAGGCATCAAGGCACTACCTTCCTCCCCGCCCCCCGCCCCCCCGGCCCAGCCAGAAAACAAAGACAAGATGCAAGTCCAAGAGACCAAACCAGAAACTAGAAGTAGACGCAATAATTGAACTTAACCCTAAACCCTAAACCCTAAACCCTCTTAAAAAAACTGCCTTTGCGGGCCATGGAGCTGATTCTGACCGGCTGGCATCGAGCCCAGAGGACCCAGTGTGGGGACTGCCTGGTCACGGTTTCTTGCAGTACTTGAGGCCCTGCCCAGAGAGCCCAACGCACCCCTTAATTCAGGAATATACCTTAAATCAGAGACTATTAGGGCCCATATAATTTAAGGTATATTCCTAACCCTAAACCCTAAACCCCTATAGATCCCTTTAAGGGCCCCTATAATTTGAGGTACATTCCTTATTTAAGGGGCATTGGGCTCTCTGG